ATCAGACAGCCTCCCAGTGCCTGTGGCTATCAACTGAGCGGTCTAGCCTCGACCCTTACTTTTCTTCTCGTGGAAGTGCTTTGCTAAAGGCATCCTGAATTGTTGCAATAATATGATAGGTGCTGTAGACCCTATAAGTAACTCTCAATGCTGACGTAGAAGAGCATTTCAATGAATTTCGAATTTCGAGGTGGATCGATTTCTCGAATCGAATCGATTCGTCTGCCCGCCGCAGCATCCTCGATTGATTAGCACCGAACAATCGATCGATTTTCGATATCTCGATCCAATCGAGCCTCGGTCCGATGTATGCATCTTTTGCCAAACGTGCACATCGATTTCGCACTTCACGGCACTTAGCAAAATTCACACTCCCACTTCCCCCTCCAACCCCTTGAACAATGTTGAAGCTGCACAGTAGCAGCAACATTGTTCAGGGGGGGTCAGGGGGGCCTCTTCTTTACCCAGACTCTATGACTTTCAGACTCAATATCGCTAGCAACACCGTATGGACAACAACATCAACATTAACACTCATCATACTCCATCATCACACCATCATCACACCATCATCACACCATCATGCTTTGTGACTTCTCTCTGTACTTTGTGACTTCTCTCTGCACTTTGTGACTTCTCTCTGCACTTAGGCTCTACGACGTCAAGACGTCGAAGGTTCCCCTCAATGGTCCGTAGATGAATATGAACATAACATCAAAGACAAGTGAGCAAACACTGCTCACTTTCAACACTCTATCAACAACAACAACAACAACACTCTATCAACAACAACAACAACACTCCATCAACAACAACAACAACACTCCATCAACAACAACAACAACAACAACAACAACAACACTCTATCAACAACAACACTCCATCAACATCAACACTCTATCAACATCAACAACATCAACACTCTATCAACATCAACACTCTATCAACATCAACACTCTATCAACATCGACATTTCCATCTCAATCTCTATCGCTCATATCATCGCTCATTTCCCTATCTCTTAGGTTTCTTATATCTCTCATCATCACTATGCCTAGACGTGGAGGCAAAACAATTCCAGAGGCTGTACGCAGAGCCATAATCCTGGCATACGACAACGATCAGGATTATAAGCGATTGGCACAACAATACAACGTCAAACCTGATACAGCCTACCGAATTGCTAAGACTCGCAGCTTTATTGCTCGACCCCGAGGGGGTCGTAAACCATACAAAGTCACAGAAGAGCATAAAGAGGCTATCATCAAGATTGTTGAAGACAACCCAACTTTCACTCTTGCCCAAATGAAAGCCACTCTGGACCAACGTGCGGACTTGGAGAAGATTTCCATCTCATCTATCGACCGCATTCTTGACAACGCCTTAATCACACTCAAGCGACTTCATTTACATACCGAGGTAAGCTCAATCAACACTCTATCAACATTCTATCAACGCTCTATCAACACTCTTTCAACATCTCAGACCAGAAACTCAGAGCCTAATAAGAAAACACGACGAGCATGCGCCGAATTTATGCTTGCTAATGAGGGAAAGTACCGATACATATACGTTGATGAGAGCGGATACAATCTCTTCACGACTAGGGGAGTTGGTCGTTCTCGCAGAGGTAATAACTCTATCACATTTTCTACCAATTTATCTATCAAACCCCTATCAATTTCACTAGCAACTTCTCTATCATTTTCCCTATAAACACTCTATCAACATCAACATCAACATCAACACTCTATCAACATCAACATCAACACTCTATCAACATCAACATCAACATCAACACTCTATCAACATCAACATCAACATCAACACTCTATCAACATCAACATCAACATCAACACTCTATCAACATTATCAACGTTAACACTATCGAAACTCTATCAATTTTTCTTTATCAACACTCTATGAAATCTCTATCAATTTCATTCTATCTACGCTCTATCACTCTCTCTTTGTCTCAGGTAGAAAAGCCATCACTGTCGTTCAAAACCAACGAGGCCGACACGTGAGCAGCATTGTAGCTCTATCGCCTGACTATGGCGTTGTCCACCATCACTCAATGCTAGGAGGAGTTAGGCTCACAAATTTCAGTCAATTCCTAGAGGATTTGGCTGGGAAACTCCGACAACCGAATATACCGGAAGGATTACCCTTCTTAATATGGTTCGACAACGCACCCTGCCATAACGGAGGAGTGGTTAAATGCATTGAAATGGGCCTACAAGCTCGAAAACTCTCACCATACAGTCCAGAGCTAAACGTGGTCGAATTCCTATTCAACGCCTACAAAGCCGCACTGAAAGCCCATTTAGCGAATGCTCAAGTCCAACAACAACCTAATGAGTCTCTATACCAAGCCAGAAGCCGAGTCTTATTGGCGGCAGCGCCTCAATGCATAAAAGCAATCACAGCTGAGGGTGCCAGAAATGCTTACTCACACGTCAAAAATGTGGTTATCCCCAAGGCCATAGCTATGGAAGACCTGTGAAAGAAGCAATCAGAGTTGAGAGTGCCACAAATGCCCACTCAGAAGTGAGAAGATTGCTTATCTCTAAGGCCATCGCTATGAAAGTTTCATGAAACAAACCTATCAGACATTTACCCTATCATCTCTCTATCATCTTACTTGCAATTGAGTTTTCACCATCCGCGGATCTGCATTTTCAGAATTATCCAATTTTAGCCAAAAAAAAATTC